GGAAATTTCGGGAAATTTTCCGTAGTTTTTGTAGACATCTACCCAAAATTTTGTGAAAATTTCCATAATGTGGTGAGGAAACTTAATATGTACTTTCACACTCGTCGTGAATGAATGTAATTCTTCGCGCAAAAATATAGGAATTTTGAGAGAAAATTTAGGGAAAGTATCCTTGATTTTATACACTTCTACTCAAAATTGGAGTTTCACCGCCCTAGTGATAAAACATAATTTACGACTACTGCATATCACCGCGAATATCGCGTTTTTCACCGAGTTTTACGCCACTTCACGCAAAACGTGTCGTGAAACTCCAATGTGTGTGGATTTTCATAATGTAGTGAAGAAAGCTAACATATGTTTTCGCACTATGGATGAAATTCTCCCCGAAATATGCAACGCGCGTTATTTGTCAAAGTCGTGCTTACAGTATCCTGTTCATCTTTGAGTGTCTCCTCTATCTCATGAAGTTGTCGCTCAGCAGTTTCCCTTTCAATTCTGATTCTGCTGAGTTCCAACCTTCCCTGCTTCACCTCTAGCGCTGTTGAATTTCGTTTTTCTCTCTGATTAAACATAATCAACATTGTCATGATCATAATTCTCACTTGACGTTGGGTGAATGATCGTTTGCTCGCTAGAGTGGATTCAGATTCCTTGCGTTCTGTTCGCAGTCTGCATAGTAGAGAAAATGAACAACTTTGAGAGTTTGTAATTCACCAACTTATTCAGAGACTCTCGAATGCTGTCCGTTTTCTTTTTTGTTTCTTTTTCCTGCTGCTTGAGCGCCACTGTGATGGAGTCGCATTCCTAAGTTGACGGATCTCCCACGCGAGACGAACGTGATTAGGGACCTCACAGAAGTATCTCGATTTAGCATGGCGATCTCTTTTTCTAAGTCCTCGAGTTGTTTGCTCTCTTTTTGAAGCACTTGAAGCTGTGAAAAGACACCAATAATGAATCAGCTGTATTGCATGTATATAGTATGCTCTGGAGCGTCCCTTGTGATATCGAAAAAACACTAGTGAAAAACTATTTTCTTCGCGGAAAACAATTGTGGTGTCGGTTATCTTTTAGTATATAGTATGCTCTGGAGTATCACCCGTGATATGAAGAGCATTAGTGAAAAAAACAATTTTCTCCGCAGAAAACAATTATGCTGTCGGCTGCGAAGACATACACGTCTTATTGATTACATGCAACGTTATAGCAATTCACGCGAAGTGAAATTCCCCTGTATGTAGCTCATGATACTTTTTCATGATGAAGCTGTATCGAATCGACGAATTTGTCGCTGTGATGGTGACTATCACGAGTATTAGAATATTTAGCCGATCTCGAAAGTGCAGAAATGCTCTTCTCCACGACACTATGCAAACTTTATTTTAACTCACCTGAGAGATTACGAATGGCGTCGTCCCTGGTTCATCAGTAGCAGCATCCCTAGCGTCATTGAATTGCCTCATCTGTTGGCGTAGATCTGATGATCACACAAGTGATCGAATGCTAATCTAAGAACTGTAGCCTCACATCTAGCCTCTTCGCGCGAATTCTCCATGTTTTCGATTTCATTTTTCTGGCGCTCTTCCGACGCTTTCAAGTCGTCTTCGAGAGCCGTCTAAAAACCTTAGCAATTCTCGAGCTGATTGGGAGTTGCCATTTCGGTTACCTTTTCTTTCCTGAGTTCCTCGAGTATCTTCGCACTAGCCTCTCTCACTTTTGTCGCTGATTGGATTTTGTTAGAACTAGTGGCAATTTCAGCCGTTAATTCTTTACACCTTTTACACAAAGTTTTATGTGGAATTTCTTGCTCATATGATTTCTCACGTTTTCATTAAGCGCGAGTGATTATCGTTTTGCTCTTTCATGATCGTGTATAGTCTCTCGTACTCAACTTTGAACGGTTTAAGTATCTATAAAGTTGTTAACGTAAAAATAAACATCAGTATTTACTTCGGCTTTCGGATTTTCACTATCGCTGAGTTCTCTTATGATAGTGAGAATGTTCGACTCGTGCATTTCTGGTCGAGAGAATTCTCGGGGAAAGGGAGTTGCCATTTTGTGTGTTGATGCAAGTGTGAAGCACTTTATGAAATATGGATGACCGTAGTTCAACAGTTGAACTTCAACAAAAGTGATTTTCAAGTTGAAAATTTCAACTTTTGAAAATCAACTCCAAAAAAAAATCAAAATTTGACTTTTCAACATTGAACTTCAACTGGTTTAATAAACTTCTCTGAATAAGAGTGTGTTGCTACTATGACGATCATGGGAGTTAGTTCATCTTCACCACATATGTTGGTGACTTCTGAGGAGATTTTGAGAAATTCTTATTGAGTCCTATACACTTTTACACTGATTCCTATGTTAACGCGTATATTTAGTGAGGAAACTGTTGAGCCCAGCTGAGGAAAGCGATGATATTTTCCAGCATTGATGGGAGTACGAAACATTTTCTTTCGAGAAATGAATAAAATACATGAAGACTCCGTGAAACTACCGAAATCGATGACCGATAATGAACTCAAATTTTTTACTGATCCCGATACAATTTCGAGTACATATTCAACTACAATGTAAACTAAACCGTCATGCGAAGTGGTATCTTAAACGCCTTCGGAATTTCTCCACAAGTCAACTTTGGGTTGTTGGCTAATCCTAGGGCGCGCGCGCTTGTAAGTATCGTTTTTGATTTAGCGCGCGCCCAGGAGAACTTTCTCTGGTGTTGAAAAGAGATCTCATGTAAAATTGTATTTTACATATGAACCTCGAATGAATACATACTCTTTTCAATGGTGAAGCTCATTCTATTATACTCGTACAGATGAGGGTACGTCCCTTTTTTGAAATTGGGTGTTTTTAGGCAAAATTTAAGTTGTGTATGGTAGAAATATGTGAAATTTCAGTTGACAAAAAATAATATGAGTTTCGACTTGAAACTTTGAGGTTAGATTAGACTTAGTTTTAGTATAAGCTTATACAATGAGCACGCTTATACTCGCATATAGAAAATGAGTCGATTATGCTGACATTATGTGCAGAGCTGTGGGGTAAATGTCGAATATGC